AGAGTGAAAGAGAAGTGCAGTGGAGAACGTACCCAGACAGGAGGGAGACGGGCCCGCGGATGCACTCCCCGCCGCGCTCAAAGTATTTGAAGCAGCCCGTGCGAAGGACTTCTAGCGCCTCGTCTAGCAATCCCACCCAAAATCAGTCACTTCTTAGCTGCCAACCGCACACACCGACCTTCCGCGCCAAACAAATCATACAGCGCCACACTCAGTATATTAATCGTTGCCGACAGTCCCTTCCGCCTCCAATGCCACCTGTGGAGCACTCGGCTGATCTCCTGCCAGTCGTGCAGGTCGCGCACCTCGCTGAGTAGCTCCGTCAGGAGCACGACGTCGTTGAAGGCGACGGTCATACCGCCGCCGGTAAGGGGGTGCCGCATGTTCCACGCGTCGCCGAGGAGGAATGTGCCCTCTTTGGTGTGCGCGCCGCCTTGCTCAGTAGGGGGCAGGAAGGAGTTGGGCATCCGGCGAAGGCGGTCTTTTAATAGGGCGGTGTGAATAGAGGTATGCAGAGAGGCCGGGAGTTGGGGGACGATGTTGGAGAGGATGAAGGCCTGGGGCAAGTTAATCAGACACATATAGGGAAAGAATTTAAAGGACGATAGCGTGCCTTCAGGTCTGAGGGGAGGGGCGCCCGGACGTCGACGAGCATCCGCGTATCGTGTTCTCCAATTTGGTACAGTAGTACTGGACCGTTCCCGCGGACCAGACACACAGTTCCATGTTGCGGGATGGGTAGTTTAACATCTTCGAGTATCGTACCCACAAAATGACTACGCGTGGCCGACTTGGCGGCCGCCCCGCCCATAACCGCGCTCCGGAAGTTCGAGAAACACCCATCCGCAACAACGACAAGGTCAGCGAAGAAGCTTTCCTTCTCTCCTTGCCTCGTCGCCCGTACTCCGAGCACCCTCTTCGTGAACGGGCACTCAATTAACTCGTTCACTGTTGCCTCAATCACATCCACTCCAGGTGCCTTCTTTGCCTTCTCCCTGAGCGCCATGATGAATCTGCCGTGGTGGAAACTGCGTCCTTCGACGCGGTCAGGGTACGGGATGTGGACATTTTGGCCCGCTTTAGCGACACAGTAGCCGTGCACGGGGATGGCGTCGATGCCTTCCAGACAGTCCTCCATGCCGAGCTTGCGAAGGGCCGCCACGCCACCTGGTTGCAGAAGCTCGCCAACGATGCGGTCGGGTTCTGCAAGTGACCGCTCGAGCAGAGCAATCCGCAGAGGCTTTGAGCGGGCCGAAGAGGGGGCGTGGGCGAGCGAGTGGGCAAGGGCGCTGCCTGCGACGCCGGCACCGACGATGAGCACGTCGTACGGTTGGGACCACATTGCGCTTGAAGTCTAGGAGTCGGCGGGGACGTGAGGGAGGAGGCAGCGAGGGTAGTGACGGGTGTGGGCAAGAGCGTACTTATATCGCCCCATATTATAATTACCTCCCAAGTCTTGTTCGGGTAAAGCCGACGTCAAGCCCAGCGTTTGCGACGGTCCAGTCAACTCCAGAACGTCCCTTGGCGCTGTTCTGGCCGCTCGTACGATTTCTCTGTCGTCCTACGGAACTCCCAGCGGTGATTGAAGGTATCTTGAATGGCCTGTTTCGCCTGCAGTACTCTGCGCTGCCTCAGGCACCAACATTGTGGAAAATCATATGCCAATGTGCTTTGACGTCTTTGGAAAGTGCGTCACGTCTTTGGGACTTTTTCTCATCTGGGGTTTAGAGGAAAAAGGTTGCGGCTCGCGATCTGATGTCGGTCATAATGAGACTTGGGAGTCCAAGTGGGAGCTGGATGCTGGTGTGTCTTGCGTATCCATCATTTGCGCTCTTTATCTGCCTCCGATTGCCCTTGATATCGCGCCACCACTCCCGCTCGATGCAGTGCGCTGTCAGACTCGCTTCATACAGGACGTGATGCATGTGATATATCACGTCCAAACCTCGAGATATGCAGTCTCGATCTCCAGTTAGACGCGTAAAAATCGCAGGCCGTGCATCGTTACGTGCCACACGCCCCACGAAGGCGAAGTCATAACTTCCCTCTGCTTACTACACGTAACTACCCGTAACGAAGCACAGAGTCTCAGAGCACACCAGCATCGATCTCAGGCACAGTGTATGTACCTTCAAGAAAGCCACCTCTCCAATTATCAACATGGCTCTTCGTAATTGAGGTATCATACGTAGCGCTCCTTCAGTTATCTCAATGCGCCAACCGGATTTGTACCTCGCCATACATATCAATCCTTCCCCATCGTGTCCGATCCTAAACCTGTATCTCGAGAATTTCAGTGCAGCGGTTCTTACTCCGTTTGACTCACACGAAGTCAATTATCAACGCTGACCCACAACATGTATCGTTACGCCATGCATCGCTCCTGTTCTCTATATTATTGGTCCTTCCCGGACATCGAGAATCCGGCATACGGTGCGTAAGTTCGATCTCAATACCCCCAAGCAATCATTTACATGACTCGATCTAATCACTAGGCCACCTCGTTCACAATCGAGGTGAGCTTCCTTGCATAATCCAGTTTTGCGTTTCGGTCGATCCGATGTCTACTGGATAGGGAATGGGTAGTCTCAATAGTAACCTGGGGTAAAGGGTCATGTTCTACGTCCGGGCCATCTCGGAGTCACGTCGTTCCTCGCCTCTTTTCTGGCCGTCGAAAATTGTTCTTGCCCGAAACCTCAAGAAGCGCAGTCCAATTATGCAGGTCTTTGCTCTGATATTCTTTTACGGTGATCGAGGACGGCAGAGTGTCTCTATCAGTGAGGCTCGTCCTTCTTCCGTTGCCCCCTTCATCTTCCCAGGTCAATGACTGCTGTATCTCGATTGTATGTCTCATCTCATCCCGTAGGTCAAGAACGTTTTTGACCAATTCTCCAGAGTAGCAGTGTTATCACCAGAGGCGCGACGAGGAGATTTGGCTGACTTCCATCGTTCTTCCGCTTTCTCTGGTGCAGCTGGCGGTCTCCGCGACTTAATTCGTATGGAGGTCAAGGAGTGCCAATGATCGACCACTTTACTAGTTTACACTTCTTTTTCGGGATGCAGGGCTCGCACTGATTGCGTATTACGCGATGCAAGGCTATGCCTTTAGGTGAGCCCGCTAGTGGTATAATGTCGGGCGTCCAATACTCTCAGAAGGAGGCCGAGAGATGACCGTCTTCGTCCTCAGCAATTTTTGAGGCTGGATTTCATTGTTCTAGGTGTATCTTCTTCAGGCCGCGGCGGAACTGCATGCCTATCCACCCCGCCGTAATGGATGAACACCAGAAACTTGTAGGGATGTCTTTTTGCAATGCATGGCGGGAGGTAGCCTTCTTCTATACCTCCTAAGGCTCCACCCTGTGCAGCCCGCCATCTCCCGCACCCACGGATACCCATAAATATGTCACCGGCCCTTGGCTTCCGGGTGATGGGTTTGTGAGCAAGGATACATATATACAATCATCAAGTCCCATCATCAGTCGTCTCTTTCAGTCCTCTCACCCGACCGTGTCTATGAGCGCGGACACCGTGACCTTGCCCCCCTCGACCGCCACCGTCTCAGTATCCATCCTGAACGTCGCTAGGCTCGACTGCCCCGCGGTGGCTTTGGTGCACCCCGTCCTCCCGGGACACGAGCGCCTCGTCGTGCCCGTATTCGCTTTTCTCATTGAGCACGGGAAGAATGAGAAGGCGAGGAGGGAGATGTTCAACTTGGGCGTGAGGAAGGACCCTGAGGGGTTCGCGCCGGCGGTGCGGAATATGCTGCAGCGCGGCGCCTTTGGGATGCATGTGGAAGCGAACGTAGCGACTCTGCTTGCAGAGGGAGGGGTGAAACTGGAGAGTGTGGATGCTATTATCTGGAGGTGCGTACTTTTGACTCCTTGCAATGAGTAAATTGGGTTATGTAAGATGCAGCCACACACATTACGATCATACAGGCGAGGATGCTCCGCCCGAGAATATAGAGCATATCACAGTGGCTCACCTACTCGCCATCTACAGGTGATCCCTCGACCTTTCCTTCCTCCACGGAGCTCGTTATTGGCCCTGGGACGAAGGATGCGTTCTTCCCTCCTTATCCAAAGAACCCAGATTCCACGCTCCTCGCTAGTGACTTCCAGTTTGTCTAAAACTCGCTTTCTCTATACCATTTCCGCTGTAATAATGTGTTATGTCTTTAGAGGCCGTAAAGTCACCGAGCTCACCACAGAAGATTTCACGCTGAGTATTGGTGGTTTCGCGGCATACGACTATTTCGGCGATGGGAGCTTTTACTTGCTCGACACGCCTGGGGTAAGTCCTTCTTCTCTCCCCCTCGTATCTTCCACTACCTTGGACTTGATATGTCATGTTATGCCTTCAGCACTGTCCAGGCCACATAACTGCGCTCGCCCGCGTAACCCCTACGAGCTTCATCTTCATGGGCGGCGACACCTGTCACCACCCAGGCCAGTTCCGGCCAAGCACACATATGCCTTGCCCGTGCTCTCGCCTCTCCAGCATCTCCCATGAACACTTCCCGCACGTCGCCTCTTCCACCTCCACAGGTACTCCCTTAGCGATCCCCTTGCTTACAGTCCCGTTTTCCCCGCCCTCCGTCTACACCGACCCCGTGCGCGCCGTGGAGTCCATCGCCAGGTTAAGTGCATTCGATGCGCATCCAGATGTACTGGTGCTACTGGCGCATGATAGAACTGTAGAGGATGTGGTCAGGTATTTCCCGGAGAAGGCGGATAAGTGGAAGGAGAATGGGTGGAAGGAGAAAAGGTGGGCGTTTTTGGAGAGGGGCGGTCGAGCGTGGAGGTTTTCTCCTGCATAAGCGGGGTATGTATGAAGACTTGACGGTGTTCTGCAAGGATACTCTTGTATCTAAAATCGGGCTAATACGGGCTATAGGCACAAGTTTTCCTTCATAGTTCCTTAGGAGGATCATCAGGGTAAAGTCAGACATGGTTTGCGTTTAAGAGACAATTATATAAAAGTGTCGGAAATACGTGTATGGCCGACTAGCTCAGTTGGTTAGAGCGTGGTGCTAATATGACAGCCTTGTATTGTACGGAAGGTGTCACGCCAAGGTCGTCGGTTCGACCCCGGCGTTGGCCATTCATTTTGCTGTTGATTGTTTTTGTGTCTTAGGGCAAAACTACTTCCCGTTCCCGGTGCACCCCGTCTACTGGTTTAGGTGACAAGGCTGCCAGTCCACTCTTTCGCGACTTACAACTAAAGCACGAAATCAGAATGGAGCATAATCACATTAATCGTATATGCAGCATTAAATGTACAGACTTAAAGGAACAAATACATATGGATGCATAATCACATCATAGAACCCCACATCGTCCACCAGTCGTCAACGGCCTCACTGGCGTCGTAATTAAACATAGCAAGGTAGTCCTCCCAGACATCCCGAAGGAACTCCTCGTCAGCGTCATCCCAGTCCTTCAGGGAGTTCTCGATAGCCAACTTAAGTCCAGTGTCTCGCGTTTGCTGCTCCGGTCCATCGTGGAAGGTGATAAACTGGTACCGACCGTGCTCAGACCGGAATGCATGGGTGATGCGAGGCTGTCGGATTTCCTCGTAGGCCGTGACCAACGTGTCGGCTTGGTCGCGGTTCCGAAGACGGGAGAAGAGGTTGCCTAATGTAGCGGCGGCTTCGATGCCCATAGAATAACTGTGATGAAATTGTGGCTGCGTGGCAGTGCGGGTCAGAGGTGTGCCTGCCGACTCGGACAAGGAATAGCGGCGTACTGGAGTAGTTTGTGCTGCGTCGCCGACCAGGAGCACCTTGCTGTCTTCGTGTACTATATTGGAGAAGGGCTCATGGACTACATATTTCGTGGGTATAACGGGGCTCGCACTGGCAAGAGTCCAGAGCTTCCGGACACTGATTGGCGCGAGACTTAGGGCTGATGAAAAGAGACAGACTGATGTTAGCTCACCTCGGATGGAATTTACTTAGATCTACGTTCAGATCTTTAGGCGAGCAGCAATCGTCCCAATTAGGATGGAATTTTGTGGTATCAGCGGGAACGACGAGCACCAGTGTATAATACTCTCGGGATCGCTGCAGAGCGCCATCAGCGCTAGAGCTAGAACGACGTCGGCAAACAAAACGCACTGTCAGATGCCCATGAATACAGCAGCCATCTGCGAGCCAGATATTCCACTGTGCGCCATGATCAGAGAACAGTAAATCACTGGTGTCAACTATAAAACGCACATCTGCATCACCATGTACAAGATACTCAATCTCTTTGTCGTCCTTCATCAACTCCGTGGGAATGAAAGTGCTGCGCATTATAGGGTAAACGTATTAGCACGAACATCGAGCTGGACACAATAAACGGGAAAGGCTCACCTGAATGTGACTAAGGGATCAGGAGCTCCACTGAACTCCTCCTCTATAACAACCTGACGAACGACCCCATCCGACCCATCCGCCCCAATAACAATGTCTGCCTGAAGCTTTTCGCCGGTATCCAAAGTGACCGAGGGCGTCCCAGGGTCGATGTCGACAACTCTAGAATGGAACCGCACTTCCGCGCCCGCCTGGACCGCCAGCTTGTGCAGCTCCGACCAGAGGTGACCGTACTGCAAACCGACGACATGACATCAGACATGCCGAAGAGGGTGACAGCGTGGATGCTCACTGGCAAGTACCACAGATCCGCCCGCAATGCCTCCATAATTTGGGAGTGGTATTGAACGATTCCGACCATCTCCGACGTGGCAGCTGTATATTGCTCAGATACCACCTCACAGCACATACGTGAGGTCCTTACCTGCGCGGAAAGTGGTAGACCTGGCCTTGACGCCGACCTTCTCAATGGTATCTTGCAGCCCCCAGTCGTTCAATATTCGCGTCATATTGGGCGGGGAGCGCACGCCGCACTCCCAGTTCTGCAGAGGTACGTCTCGATCAGTGACGCGATCGACATCAAGCGGGAACGCTACCCACTCCGTTTTTGCCATCACTTTTCTCGAGGACAGTGACATTATGGCCGGCCTTGGACAGCGTATAGGCGCAAGCTAAGCCGGAGATGCTGCCTCCGACGACGACGAAAGACAGGGAATGGGCTGCTTTCTTATTGGACATCGATGCAGAGGATCTAACGCGGTGTGTACCCTACACAAGGTGGCAGCAGACATTCAACGAGCAGAAAACATGGACGCCGAATCTCATAACGGAACCAAATCCGGCCGCGTGCGGTTGATAATCTCTGGAAATGATGGCCACACGAGGATTCCAGAGAACGAAGACGGAGGTTAACAGCATCGAATAGGCCTTAATTCCCTGAGAAGAGGGTCCGCGCTGGGCCCGAAATAGGTAATCATTCCCAAACACGGGGTGGTCAGACATGGAGACGCTGCGAACGCTTCTCCTCAGGTCTGCACACCCGTAACATCCAGAGCTTTATATATGTTACAGGGCCGTTGGAATACCAATTAGACGCCGAGGACTGAAACATATAGCGACTGATTGCCAGACGATCGTCGTTGCTGCGACATGCAGTGCTCGCGCGGGCCCGCCCTGAGGAGAAACATTTAGACCGGTTTACTGTCAAGGCGTTCCTTATCATCTCTTTCTGGCAGTACGGAAATTTTTCTTCGTCTTATGTCACACCACTAGTTGCTGGCAAACAATAGGCGAGCGAAGCGACCATCCGATAGAGAGTGATGTTAAACTGATGCGGTCAAGTCCAGGCCTTCGATGGGAGATTCCTATCATCAAACGGCAATCACGGAATTGGGCAGGCACCATAAGTATTATGTAAGTTATTCATGCTATTTCCCGCACTTGTTTAATTGAGGTTCCTTGCCGCGTTCCCCGTATCTCATGGCGGCAGTGGCGTGTTTCCATCTTTACTGACCTTTCCTTGTCAATAATCCATATAGGTTGTTACCTTAATTGCGTAATTTTCCAGAAGGACCGGAAAAAGTTTCCGTGCTCATTCATTTTTGCAGAAGTTGGTAGCATCTTCGCAAAATGCACGTGTAGTCGTGTTCGGTGTGCTGATTCCTGCCATTTTTGCATATTGCCTTGTCCCCATTACAGGGTTAGTATTGGGGAACGGCGGGGCGGTCATTTCGGTCATGAAGCCACAGGGCGTAGTTGTGAGAGCATCACCACACTTCGTTGTTGCCGCTATCACGCATCCTTTCGTCTGGCCACAGTATGCCTCAATGGACTACTTGTCAACTTGAGACACTATTACTGTACCTAGCACCGGTGTTAGCCGAAGTGCACGGTAACAGGCCGTCCTGACGAGTTTCACGGAGTTATCTGCTCGGGGTGCGCGTCCAAAAGCAGCACAGGGAGTGAAGTAATCGCAGAGCATACAACATCTAAACACTGTGGGCCATTGTTACAACATAGAATCCCTAGTCGTTACATTCATTGGCTGTGTGCAGTCCGTTTCGTTAATTCTCGGGTATACTTCTCTAAACCTCAAGGGCCTTCTGGGCGTAGCAGACGCAGATGTCTACCGTAGTTCCCTCCATATCGTCCCACTCCTTCGCCATGTCGTCCATCCATTGGTCATACTCCTCCTCCGAGTTGACGTATCCCAAGCCCCCGGCCTTCAAGATGGGCGTCTTCATGCCACGGAAGACACTGATGAAGTTATCTCGTACATCAATACCCTCTTGGCCTGCCCACCTTCCTGCGGGCAGCTTGTACTCCTCGACGCGGACGTTCTTGTAACCCGTCTCCTCCAGCATCTTCGGAAGTTGGACGGAACAGTCGATAAGCAACTGTCGCGACGAGAAGAGCAACTCTAGGAGCGCGCGGTGCTTCACGCTGTGCGGCCCCTCAGCGCCCCAGCGCTTCGCCTCGAGCAGCTGCACCCATCCACCAGGGGCGAGGGAGCGGTGAATCTCGCCCAAGACGACGGGCCACTCGGATGACTTCAGAGCGGCGATCAACAATCGCTGGTTTACCAAGGCGAACTTATTCGCCCAGCCTTCAGGTAAGTTGGTGGCAGTGGCGGCAGCAAACTCCGCGTTATCGGGCTTCGTGGTGGGAAAGAGACGGGTCTCTATGTCGATCCCCTGGATATGGACGTCTGAGGGTACTTCCTTGGCTAGATCGAGAGCCCATATTCCTGATGGATGAGAATTAACGTCATTTTCGAACATTCAAGATCAGCGAGAATGCGAACCTGATCCAGTCCCACAGTCCAGTACGTGATCGCCGGACTTGACAGTCGTAGGCGCGAGGACAAGCCTATTGCCTAGCGCACGAATGAGCACTCGGTGCTGCAGCTCCAGCCTGTCAGGACGAAGTCAGTGATAGTTTCCTGCAGCTGGTAAACATACGTACCGAGCTTGTTCCTCCTCATCCGATGGGAGAATGTAACTAGAGCCAGGATATTGCTGGTAGTTGCGTTCACGGTGCTGGATGGGGGCGGAGTGAGCGTTGAAGCCCTCCGTCGTAGCGGGTTCTTGTCTCTGGGTTGCGACAGACATAGGTGGTGACTTGTAGCGAGAGGGGAAACAATTTCACTGGAGGTGAAGCTGGTTGAGATGGATGTTTTGGCACGCCTCTTATATTCAATCGGGCTAGCTTCTTTGCCACTCTTTACGCGGAGTGATAAAAAATATCGCACTTCCAAGACAATCACGAGGCTTCTCTGATCAAAGCCCTCACGGGACGTCGGGAACATATTCGCCTTGAGTTTCCCCTTGTGTCCAGAGAGGGAGATAGCATTGCGTCTCCTTGCGTCATCTAATCAGGCCGAATATTAGCAACATTCGATCAGGAGAGTACCGGGATCTAGCAAAGGCTACTAGCAGGAGATAGGAAATGCTCCCCTGCTTGATAATCGAAGCACAAGCCAGTGCATATTTTGGGCAAGAATGCATCTACGCATCACCATCATTTCCACTTCGGACATAGCGGCTTAGACATATCGAGATCTTACCCAGCAAGAACCCAGGAATCGATGCCTCGCGGTTACGATCGTCTCTTTCGATAATGCGGGACTCGGAAGCTTGATAAAAATCTTCAGCTTCTGTACATGTGCGCTTCTGTCAACCACTGAGTACTGAGTAATCTGGAGGAATGTGTGGCTGAGGCCGTGATCTCTAGGTAGTTAGCCAGC